ATCCCCATCCCACCAAACATGCCGTTCAGCCATCATAATGTAACGGTCAATCCCACTATTTGTTGGTAAAAGAGTAGCCCAAGAGTTGGCAGTGGGTGGTGATGACTAGCTGCCTTCTCTCTAGTCTTACACTGCTAAATTTGGGATGGATAGTGCAGATAACCCTCATGTAGCTTTGTGCAAAATTCAAAAACAAACAAGCCAAGAGGACAGTGGAAAAAAATGATATTTTTTGCTTGTAACCATTCCAAGTTTTCATCTGTAATAAAGTATATATTATTAATAAAATAATTAACACCACTTTATTTGTCATCATTTCACAATATGGTTTTAAGCCTTTAGTCTGCTCGGCACATTTTGAAAACTGAAATATTTCCTTTTAGATAATTTTCAAATGAAGAATTGTTCACATTATGACAATTTATGCATCCTTAGGATACATAAAACTTTAAAATTTATCCTCACCTTTTTTGCAACTTACAAGCATTAAAATTCTAGGACAATATTTAATGATTTCATAGAAGAATCGGTTACAGAACTGCTGATAATTTGGTTATGATAAATTTGTTTTGTTGCTCTATCCTTTTTAAAGCTAATTCAAGTAAATCTTAAAGAAGAATTCAAAACAGCAGATGAACCTTTGGCTATTTAACCCTAACTGTATAGAAACACCACTTCAAGAAGAATACTGCTCCCAAAAATAGTGATAGAACAAATAGTTGTGAAACACATTTTATTTTACATAACTGTATTTACTTTTCCACTATGATCAAACGAGCATAACTAATAATGGCCAAACATACCACTCACAGAGGGTACTGAACTGATAAAACATTATAAGTATGAATGTAACTGGATATTTATATATATTTGGTTCTAATTTATGTAGTCAGCTTGATAAATTAGTGGTTAATGTTTATTAAGTACTATGTTTCCAACATTTTTGTACTTGTACAAGTTAAAATCACCTTATACTTTGTTTCCCATTTTTATGAAAAAACTATAAGACACAATTTTTAAAGCATTAAGGTACTTGCAGTGACTTGAAAAGAAAAATGATGAGAGTTTCTGTTGAAATCTTCCTGCATGTACATATTGTTATGATAAATGTCTCCAAATCTTTGCTAATAATGCAGCTGGAAGGCATACACCAATCTCAGCTGCTGATTTCAAGAAGCCTTTTGATGAAAAGTAGTAAATAAACAACAATTCTAATTTCCAAACTATTATATTTAGAGATGCTATTTTTGTTTTCATATTGTAACAGTTCAGTAGGACTTCAGATAGTAAAGCCAGGCATTACACTTGAAGCTTTCAACATGGTAACTTTATGTTTCATATATGCCAATTTCTATTTTCATTATTCATTTCAGTATTAACTCTAGTTAACAAAATGATGTTCATTTAAAACTGCTTATTATTATCAATGTTTGGCATTTATTTAACATCTACTTCAGCCTACTCTTTCCATAGCTTAGTGTGATACTATATTTGAACTCAAGGAGTGTTCTAGTGACACATATAGTTCACTTAAAGATTTCCATACAGTTCTTTTTCTTCACAGCTTTATAAACATTGATAGATAAAGGGTATATGAAATTGTTTTTAAAAACAATTTGTCTGGAGAAATAAATAATTACAAAACTTTTGAAATGATAAGAAAAAAGTAATTTTTACAGTTTTTATTACTTAACATTTAAGAATTCCTGAAATGACTAAGAATAAAATTCTAAACATTCAATTGTTAGAAAAGATTCTCAGCATAAGCAAACCAGACAAAACTAATCAAACCTAGTAGCTGTTTAATAATACATTCCAATAACTTTTAAAGCTATTAAAAGAAAATTAATCGGTAGTTTTCATCATTCAAAAAAATTTGTTAAAAAAACTTTCTCACAGTCTACTGATGGAAACTCTAGTATTTGATATGTGAAACAGTAATTCATTAAATCATCATATAGCCTTGAGTGGACCTGCTAAAAACATGTACACAGCTACAAAATGTGAAACTAAACAAACTCAAGATGACAAATTTCGATGTAAGCATAAAGGAAAATGAAATGCTTCCCATGTGCCTAGTGTCCTCCATTCAAAAAAAAAAAAAAAAAACTTGGACAACAGAAAAATAATAAATATGAGAATCAGCATTGTATCAAATGAAATTGTAGCTCAAAGAGATGCACAACAATCAGTTGTCAACAGAAAGGGAGGAATGTTAGTCCTGTATAGACATATGAAAACTGTAGTTAATAGGTTGTGAGAAGTGCTTTATCACTTAGGTTTGCAGTGCAGTATATTAATTTTGTCAGTAAGAAACTATAGAAACGAAATTTAAAACTTCCAAGATGTAACTGTTGAAACTGATTTTGATATAAATCTTGGTCTCTTGTTATTTATAGAAGCAAAATTCTAAAAAGTGCTTTTATTTTATAGCTTAATTTTTGTAGAGATCACTGCCAAACTTATCAGTTATGTTGAGCCTTTTTTTTCCATATCATTCAGAAACAAGTTTTTGTTAGCCAGTGGTTAGGTTAACGTACTACTTTCATTACAAACAGTACTGTTGAAATACATTATGTTAATACTTTATCTTTACAAATACTCAACTGTACAGTGCTTTATAACAGTCACTAATACAATATATTTAGCAAAGCATCAGAGAAAGATTATAATTTCTCCTAGATACATAAAATAAGATTTTTGATAGAACTATCTGTAGGTGTGACAGTATAGGTTGTTTATTTGATTCCTTATCTACAGGTATTCACTATAAGAGACAATATTAAACTAAACATCTGAAAGTTCTTGTTGAGATTTTTATGAATCTATCTATTGTCAGGTTTGCTGAAATTATCACCTTGTGTGTTTGGAAAGTTAACATACGCTCAAAGCTGCTGACATCCATTACTTCTGTGGGTAATATTAATCAAGTTGTATTTGATGATACTTAAAGAAAAAGAAATGAAAGCAAAATAGAAGTGCTGGAACAAATTAGATTTTGATGTCAATGATAACTGCAACTTAAGACTCTAATAACAGTAATTATGAACACTCAGAATCAATTTCATTAAGCAAGTGATCTAATAATACATATATATTATCTTAGAATGATATTTGCATAAACAGTGGTGAAAGTAAAAGTAGTTGAAAATTCCTTGCTTTGAAATATGTGATATTTTCCAAGATTTTAAGGGGAAAATAAGGCATACTGTATGTTTAGATGTTTTTGTTAATGTAAATTTTGAAAAAGTTTATTCAGGAACACTGTAGCAGGAATTTGACAGATAGAGACTACACTATGAATCAGTTTAGTTAGCTTTAAAGTTCATTAAAACTTGAGATTTTAAAAAACTTATCAATTGAAGAAACAAATTTAAATATTTACTTAATGAAAATACTTGTACATATTACTAGTAAATACATTGTTGTAACTAAATAAAAGCTCAAAACTATAACCACTTTCTGATTCACTTCAACAGTTTTTTGGTCCAGAGTAGTTCTCAAAATCAAGATCTTCAAATGATAAATAGTTGTGTTTTAAAAAGCTTGAATGATTCAAGTGCCAGCATTTAAAAGAAGCAAGATTCAGTTCTTAAATAACTAATGAACAGTACAAGAAGATTTAAAAATTATTCTAACTAGCTAACAATGTAGACATACATCTAAGAATTACATTAATATAATTTTTTGATTCCACTTTGAGCTACAACTAATTAATCTCATACACTCCTCGGTGAAAGTTCATCATTTTGATAGACATAAATGGAAATTCTATACTTTGACATTATGTTAAACCAGTGAAGATTTAATAGTATATTTTTTGTTTCTTAAAAAAATCATCCCCCAAATTCTATGTGATTATTTTACTCACGTATATTCCAAACTAGTGACTGAATCTTTTCTCATGATCTTTTTTATTGAATTCATTCACAAACATAATTATCAAGTTACTAGATCATTCAAAAGGGCCTCACTTTCAATGCATAAAACTATTTTGAAATAAAACTGCTTTTTAGAAGACGTTTACAGCTATAAATTCAAAATCACAGCTAAACTATAAACATAAGTGAGTGTTGGTACAGAGCATATGTAACATTATAAAACGTATTTTAAGATTCACAATTAATTTAGTAATTTTTTCCCCAAAACAAAATGATTGGCTTGCAGGTTTATACTATCTGCATTTCATACTTTACTAAAAATAATTCACTAGCTGTCTGTTGTATGTCTCTAAGGAAGTTTCTTAGATATATAGTCATTAACAACTCTGTCATGTATTGTCACCAGTTATTAATATCTTATGTTCTCAGACTATGAATGAGTATCAGCTGTATTCCTCATGTGTATAAACAACATATATATACTGTAACCTCGTAGTTTAAGAGATATATAAAACAAAAAATGAGCAGAGAGAAAAAAATTAGTGTGCTGTCAAAATCTGTCAACTTCTTTTCAGGAAGTTTAAAACACACCCATACACAAATAAAACAATGACAAATCATAAAATAGTTTTAAATAACTCTATAACATCATATCTTCTGAACCACTTTCACTGCTGCTTTGTTTCTGAGATGATGGCAAGGAAGAAGACAGTTGGGGTATTGTGGATGATGTCTGAAAGCAAAATGTATTATGGTTACTTTTCAGGTTTTAGATATACATCATGTTGCACTACAATATTAAAAATTCAATTCAGACAGGAAACAACAGTTAAGTAGATATATTAATTATTTAGAAAGCTGGAAGTTTCTTTCAAAATTACCCGAGCACAGAAATAATATACAAGGGAAAACTTCCTTTTTCTGTCAAAAAACATGCCATTTAAAAAAAAGAATTTACAGTATGTTATTTGTCACATACACACACACAAAAAGACTTCCAATTTTCTCCCTCTCTTTTCCATCTTAATACAGAATAAATACATGTATTTTCATCAAAATAAAACTTATTCTGCACTAACAATGAAATGTCTTAAAAATGTTTAAATAAAGGATTATAATTCATCTCAAAAATTTGTCAGACTTCATCAACCCATTTCAAAGCATATTTGAGGACAACACCTTAGTGAAGGTCTTCATAAAAGATGCCAAATTAAAAATACATGTACCTTTTGATCTACTAAGTCCTGCATCAACAGATTGCAATTCTGTTCTCAAACAGGTAATTTAAATCTTTAATGTGACATATTTCTTCTTTTTTATCATTGTCAACATCATATTCAAAACCAATGTTTCTAGAAACCAAGTCTAGTTTAACGGTTACCAAACTAAGGCAGGTTCTTACTATTCAAAACAGAGATTAACACAAATACATTGAGAAAACAATAACAAAGAATTGTGCATGTAAATAACCAACTAATAAATATTCTTTGTTGAGTACAACCCCATTTAAAAGAAAAGTGCTACTTTGTTAGTGTTGTTCTAAAAAAAAATTCTACTATACAAAGTAGAACATATTATTATATGATTCATGGCAAGGATATATTCATGATGTCAGAAAAACACAAAGGTTCAAGTCTTAATATAAAACAATAAAACTCTCTAACCCTTGTAGGGTAATATATATTTAAATAATATATTTTACATGAATTCTCTTTAATGTTAGATAAACTACATTTCCCACTCCTAATTTGTATAAAATAAACCATAAAAGATGAGTGAAATACTACACACACATAAATCCTTTATAACATTTAAGAGTTTAAACAATTTTTTCAAAATTTGTAGGTACTTTAAAAAAGAAGAAATATATTCAATTACATAAGAAATATTATCAAACACACACACACACTTTAGAAAACAATTATTTGATAAAAAACATTTTATTGTTCTATTTCAATCTTTTAAGCAAACCCAATGCATTTCCACTGAGATTTTGAATACACCTATATAAATAATGGAGGAATAATTTAATGTGCTATAGTAGTAGTAGCAGCAGATATTATGATAAATACAGACCCATTTTTTTATGGTTAATAGTAACTACTCAAAGGAAAAATCTAATAAAACTAAACATATATGTAGCACACTGTTAACATCACGCTACTGGTATGTACAAGAAATCCACAAAACAATACATTATGGTAGTTAACAGTGTGGTACGTGTAAAGATAGATTTCTATTTTAAAGAGTCTATGCTCACCTCAAATAATGGCCTTCTAACGGGAGATGATGGGAGACTATTAGAGCAAGTATACATGAACCTTGATGGAGATACTGAGCTAGGAGAACTACAAGAATAGCCATTGACAGTTTGAGGGAAGGTTCCTCCTTCTTGTTGGGGGTGTTGTGGTGAGGCTGAAATGTGAACATACATAAAAATATATATTACAGTTTATGATAAAAAAATAAACTGGTTTAATGCAAGATACATATTAGCTGTTTTCTAACAGTAAATTACATGCTGTAACAATTACTACATATCAAAACCCTATTATTTAGAAATTTAGTATTTACCAGTAACATCGAGTTATGAAAACAAACAATATTTAATTGAAGGCAAATGGGAAAATGTTTTATTTTTGGTAGTCAGACAGCTAAAAATATATCTGGCATCAAAACTGAAATTTAATGAGTGAAAATGTCTTCCTACAAGGAGTAAAACTTTACTAGACTTTCCAAAAGGTAAACGTTAACATACTGCTGTCACTAGCTCATTACATCATATATCTAAATAAGTAACTGTAAATAATAATAATAAAAAAAAAATGTCACATTTATTAAATGAATGAATTTAGGTTTGGTTACCAATCTACAGTTTTATCTATTATGCAAACAACTTGTGGTAAAATTTTACTTGAAACACACATTAAATAGTGCATAAAGAATTTGGAACTCTTTGAAAATTTCTCTATTAGGTAACAATACTGTTTTCTTGCTTCTACTAGATTACATATTCTTCAATAGATTAAAAATATGTTTTTTTTAAAAGAATTTCAAACAATAGTATTATTAAATTGTTAGAGCTGGCTGAGTAGCTCAATTACCTATGAACATTGATTACATCAACTATTGTCACAACTTACAAAAATGGCATCTCTTTACTGGAAAAAAAAACTTATGGTAAGTTAATATTCTTTAGTCTTTGTTCACTCACAAAAATGTTGATTGCTGAATAATTTGCTCATTCAACTGTGTTTGTCAGCATTTACTAAACATAGAATAATAACAGTCTAACAATATGTAACAACATTAAGTCATTAACCTGTTTACACAAATAGGGCTTCTGTTTAATTTCAACTAGCTCTAGTTAGATAGGAAGGCACTGAGAAGGGGAAAACAAAAATTTGTCTATAATCATTTGCCACTTCAACCCTACCCAGTACAGTAACCTTTAAGATGCTTGATTTATTGATTTCTTAGCATGCACATGTTCCTACTATCTCTTCTAGCCTGCACTGAAAAATGTAAATACATTACTCATCTTAATGTGGTCTTTCTAAACTTCATCTATATCAATAACTTCTTGTTTAAAACCTTATGATGTTTTTTTCATAAAGTTGTAAATTATTTTCTTAATTTCTGTAATTAAACATTTCTTTCCATATTATTGTGACTTTAATATTTCTTATAATACTTTGATTTCCACCTTACGAATCATTGTAATACTGCAAAGAAATGATCTAGTGGCATCACAAGTTTTATTGACAAATAGTAAATGTTGTAATTTGTCTTTCTAAGATCAGCATGAACTTGATTTTACTGAATTATATATTATCTAAAACATACTGCAATAACTATCTTTACTAGTTTTTTCACATGAAGTCTAAAGACAATTATTTTTTATGAAGTATTAGTTTATTTAGTTTCAGTTGAATAACTCATGGAACTGTAATCGTATTTTCAAACTGTTACTGGTTTTGTACTATTTTAGATATATTTTACACTTTTAGGTACAACAGTTTAGGATTAAAAAGTAAATTAATTTTAAATTGTTGAACCTGAAGACATCTATCATATTAAATGTCACAGGCTTTGTAATAATAGCAATGATCACATGCCAAATATATGTTTGTTTACTTTTAGGATACAGTGGCTGTAATGTGAGTGACAGAACAGAAAATTTATGCTTCTGATGAAGGTGTAAAGCTGAAACAATGATCAAATAAAAAACTTTAAAATATTCTCTTGGGTTCATGGTTGTTTTATTTATTCATTACAAAAGTAATTCAAGAAGTTATAATCCTTTATTATGTATTTACTGTTGCAAAGTGTCAAACCTATTCATGAACTTTGTTTTGGGGCAAAAGGATATACTCATTTTCATTTAAAGCACATACTGCACTAATGTAATAGAAGTTAAATTTTGTGTGTGTTTAAGCTATACCTCAAAGCCTTTAGTTCCCTCTCTCTCTCAAAAATATTGTTATACTAATGACCCTTTCCATAAGACTAATAAGTATAATTTTATGCTACATTAAGCAGTATTAATATCTTAGATAAAATAATAATGCAGGTGAATGTTAGATAAAAGTATGTTTATTAGTCTTTTGGAAGTCATTAATTCAACAAGGAAATTGAGAGAGAAACAAAACCTTCTATAAAACTAACAAGCATACTCTTATGCTACATTCAAGTGCACAAAAATTTTATCACAAGCTTAGTTATTATAAAATAGTTAAATAACTGTTCCAGAAGGCTATATGAAGGTAGGCAGCTCCTTTTAATGGTTTTTTGACTAATTTAGTTATCTAATACCAAATAATTAAAAAAGGTTTAACAGTCAGAATTGATCAGTCTGGCAAACACATAGACACATACTGCTGAATGGATATTTCCTTTCAGTAGTTGCAAAAGGATTAGTAGGGATGGGGGCACTGCGTGGAGGTTGACCTAGTTGATGAAAAGCATCCATCTGTTGAGTTAGACTGAGAAGTCCTCCTTCTGCTACTGTGACTATTACCCAAATTACTTCTGTGGAAGAAACAATAAAACTGACCATGGTAAACACTTCTTAAGACAGAATTGTTTTTAAGTATTAAGTTTTTAACACATGTAAAAGTGCTTAATAAGAGGTTTTTTACATAGTACTCACAATAAAAGTTCTGCAAGCTTTACATTATTCACATGACGAATTCCTACCTTTAAAAATTGTATAAGAATGCTAATCATAATCGAGATCTGAAACTGATAATAATATCTCAATATTAGAAGTTCCCGTAGACTAAAACAACATGGATATTTCAGTTTGTTTGGGAGAAATTAGTTTTAACGTTATACTTTTTATCATGAAGAAAAAACTAATTATTTAATGTATTATTAAACCAACTACAATATAATAATTTTGAAGATGAAAATACACTTCCCTAAAAGTATACAGTATGACAAACACAACTGTTACTCCAATACAATGTAACAGGTATCTTATATAAATGAAAGAAACCCACGAAAAAAAAGCAGCATTAGTAAGTGGTCTACATAAATCATTATAAAATTGTTGCTTAATAATATTTTTACTGCATTAAATTACAATATTTTTTCCCTATATAAAAATATAAAACAAAGACAAGTTTCTGATTTTTTTCTAATTGTTTGTTTTAAAAAATTTTTAAAGAACTCAAATCATATATAAGCATGTTAAATGCAATAACAAAAGCATATGACATTTTTTCTTTGCTACTGCTGTTTGTAAATAACTCATGAAAAGAACATGAATCCAAATACAAGAATGATGATATTTTTCTGTTACTCTGGAGTTTCTGAGGCTTCTCATATTTTAAATAGTTAGCACAGTAATTCAGCTTATACTAATAACTCTGATAAAAAAAACAATATTTAAAAGCACACAGAATCTACACAAAAAAATCCAATAACCCATGTGTTTTCAGAGATAAATGGCATTGTTTTAATCCTAAGATGTCAGTTTTTGGTTTTGACTGATATATACATCCATGCTTGCTTACTTACCAATTTGTAATTATTTACATCCTGTATTCAATAAAGTTTGAATGATTAACTAATTTAATTTTATATACTTAAAAACTATTGAAATGTTATCTTTTTTTTTACATAGCATTGCAAATATCACACTACGCATATATTTTCTAAATACACAATAAACAAATACAAGGTTAGATAAGGAATATCATTTTGTTACTCATCTGGCACCATTTAGCCATTGGTCACTAAAACTCATTTTTACTGATATACTAGATGTTTTTTGTGAAATTTTGTACAGAAAACTGAAGTAACTTATAGCAACATGTACTACTGATGGAGAAAATCATACATGCGGGTCCCAACAAAATTAAATACATTTCTTAATATTTAACAAGCAATCTCTGACTCAACAGCAGAAAATACAGATTATTCTGGTAGGTAGTGGGGTAAACCATCAGTTTCAGAAACCGCGAAACCTAAGAGCGAGATACATAGTTGTGTATGATATGATCCAGGAATAATTTCGTCATGCTGTTTTCTTTAATATGAGTAGTCATTAAGGTGTTTCTATCTTACCAAAGTGGGACATCCACACGCTATGGTCATGCTAGTATGTCATTATTTTAGTACTCCTCTCTCTCCTCTTATCCTTGCAATATTCTTGCACTTCACTCAGAAAAACTCTTTGTACCCACTGTTCCTCAACTGATCTTTAATCAGTTATCAATTTCCTAATTTGAAAATGTATTTCCAAACATATTTACCTCCACTGACACTGTCCTTCCCCACTAAGAGCCAGTGTTTGTGACTGGGATGGGGTAAGTCTCGAAAAAGTGATTATATTGTCTGCATACAGTACTTATATACAGTAGCTGTTTAGGGGGCGTGTAAAAGCCGGTGTAAAGTTTTGCAAATTATATATTCCCGAGGGCAGCCGATTGGGGTATACAACACTGGAGCAAGTGAACACAATGTTAGATGGCAAAGATGGAGATCAGAGTTTACTTGTTAAAAAAAAGAAGAAAATAAAAGCTTCATTTTTTAAGTAATATACATATTTAGTAAGCACAATATTAGGTGTTGATATTGGTTATTTAAACATTATAAGTAAAAACACATACATACTTGATTAGCAACAAAACATTTCAGCAAAATAATGGTTGGAGACGGCCTGAATGGGTAATGAAGAAAAACTTTGATATAAGT